AACCCCTAAACCCTAAACCTTTGAAGCCCGACCCTGAACCCGAAAGCCTGCACCCAAACCCTACACCGTCTCATGGAGCCCTTACAAGAACCCGTATATGGGGCTTAAATAATTACCAATACCATTTCTTGGGGGCTCCTTGCCACAATTATGGTATAATGGGCCCCAAAGCCCTACTCTAACTATTAAGGCCCTTATATTGGTTTCGAACCCTCACCCTTTTGACCCCATTGAAGGAGGAGGAGGAGGCAGCGGAGCGCGGATCATCTCAACTTTGTGGAATCTGCCTCTTGCCCGAAACGCTCCCCTTGCAGTTTGCAAGTTTGGGATTGTCGGTTTCCTTATCGGGCACCTTAAGGGGTTCTAGTAGAGTTTATGTGGAGGTGATCCGGGGTGTGGGCTTAGTAAGTAGGGTTATAATTAAGGTAACTATACTTATGTTTACTTATAACCCCAAGTAAGGGACTTATAACCTTACTTACTAAGTCCCATGATCCTTGAAGTAGGCTCAGGGTTTACGACTTGAACTTAGGATATGGCGCTTTAGGATTTAGAGTTTGGGCCCGCAAAAGGCAACTGCTACAAGCCTCGAAACCAAACGTACCCAGGTTAGCACGGCCACATAGAGGGAACCTAGTTTATTCGATGTACCGTCCCGAAATCACACTTGAGGAACTTAGGTGGATTCCGTAGTGATAGGAGACTTGGTATATAAGGCAGAATAATGGGATATAGGTACGTTAGGCCCTAAACCCTAAACCCTAAACCCTAAACCTTAAACCCTAAACCCTAAACCGTGAGGTATTTGTACTTCAACGTCCTTTGAGCCTTTAAGTCTAAGTGGTGTGTGTGTGGACTCCCTGCGAAAATGAGCCACAAAACCATCTAAAACTCAGGAAAATGAGCCACAAAACCATCTAAAACTCAGAGGTAGTATTGACTGTTTTGGTTGCGGCTGAACTTCAGTCACCTAAGTCTGAAGCCCCTTCGGCTCCAAATACCGACTACCCAGAGACTCCCAGACCCCTTAATTGAGGAATATGCCTTAAGCTATAATAGGCAGCCTCATAAGATTTAGGGTATATTCCTTAATGAATCGGTTTTGGACTCTCTGGGTATAGGGGACTTAAAGAAAGGTACATAATGCTATAACCTCAGTAGGGACCCCCACCCTGGTATAAGTAATCATTCAGGCCCTTATATTATATCGCATATATAATGTAGGAACCTGATAAAGAAAGCTTGAGTGTTTATTAGGTTCGTCATATGAATCCGAATATTCTCGGGTCATAGGGCCAGGGTTTCTTAACCAGGTTCCTACAATACACTTGCGCCTTCGATTCAAGGCCTATATAGCTTCTTTAAGGCCTAAGGGTCCCTAAACCCTAAAGCCTAAACCACTTAAACGCTAAACCCTAAACCATAATCCCTAAACCCTAAACCCTGAAGCCCTAAAACCCTGAAGCCCTAAAGCCCTAAAGCCCTAAAGCCCCAAACCCTAAACCCAAAGCCCTAAACCCAAAACCCTAAAACCCAAAGGGCCTAAACCCTAAAACCCCAAAGCCCTAAACGACTGAGGCAACTGCCGCAGGGCATCTGAAAAGACCTGGGAGCTGATCGTAGAATTTAGGGTTTAGGGTTTGGGGTTTAGGGTTTAGGGTTTGCAGACAGGGGACCCTAATCCAGACACTACATTAGAAGATCCCCTGTGTATATATAAAACTTTGTATGTGAGTTGCCTTACCTACGAACCTACGTCCCAATTCCCCTGATTCATCCTAGTCCTAGACCTCATAGCCTAAAAGCCTGAACAACCCTCCTAGCAGCCCTTAAAGGAATCCTTAAAGCGAACCCTTAAACGAGCCCTGACCTACCTGCTGCGTCTACTAGGGTTTCGGGTTTTGGGTTTAGGGTTACTGTTTCTGCTGCTCCTTTCGGCTAGGCTTCAGTGCGCCGGGCGTCGCGCTCCTCCCTTGCAGCCGGCGGCGAGGGCCACCGGAAGCCACGCTTCCCAAGCACTCAGGGTTTCGGTTTTGGGAGTTTGGGGTTTAGGGTTATTAGGGTTTAGGGTTTAGGGTAGAGGTCTCAGTGATCAGCGACACCCTGAAGCCCAATTACGCGGTCTTCGGTCTTCGTACCTAGAACAAGGTTCGGGGGTGCTTGCGGTCCGTAGCTGATCGGCGTTGGTGCCCAGGGGATCGAGGTACTCTGAGACCATCCGTGTCGTGGATTTTGGACCTCCTTTCTGGCCTCATACGGTATATACTGCATAGTGCATACATTCCTGAGCTCTACCATGACCCCACAAGAAGGGTTCTGTCGCAAATCGCATTTTAGGAGTGCGCATGATCTCATAAGGCTCCTCACACCATTGGTTCGAGTAGAATATGTTTGCCACCAGCTTTAGGGTCTCGTTGCATGCGCCTTGCCTGCCAGACGTCTTCACAAGTGAATCCTCGAAATCGAAACTCGGAGCCCAACGGCGTGGATTGAAAACTCCAGCTCCCATGCGAACCAAAGTCTCTGGCAGGAACCCCCGAGATTCGTAGCATTACGTATCTCATTGGGGGATGACAGCGAGAAAGGTGAGTGTTAGACTTCTCCCCTCTGCGGCAGAGCCATGCCCATCATCCACCCCTCCAGGAACGAAGGTGTGGAGCTAGCTTTGAGACGTGTCAACCACCAAGCTGCACAGATGCTGGTCCAGATGCCAGGTGACGAGGACTTTGCTCGCACCTCGAGAAGAAGCACTCTGGCAGATATGAGAAAGAATTTGGAAGATCTGGAACAGCAGCCGCGATGGCGTTGGCGAGCAAAGGTGGCGCTGGCCTGCTACACCTTGGCACATGTCACTGGCAGCCTAACATTTGCATCGAGTTACCGAACGTACCGCTGCAGAAATAACGTTTGTATTGATGGTATTCATGTGCATGAGGTATGCGACGCCATCGTTCGGCCCGTCGTGACGGGCTTTGGGCTCTACGTGTTTGTCCAGAGGATGGAGCGGTTCTCCAGGACCAACCCGCTGCATCTGTGGAGCTTGATCACGATGTGTTGCCTCACGATGCCCCTCGGCGAAGACAGCGTAGAATACATGTGGTGGTTTTTTTGGAAAAGGCATAGTATGCCTCCGATGCCACGCGGGGTGCCTTTTCTTCTGTGGGAGGTGGTCTGCAACATCCTGCAGGTTTATATGACTTTCCTGAAGCTGCGGGTTTTGGGCTGGGGACAGCCCGGTGCTGTGGCGGTCTCACAACGCTCGGTGTTGGTTCGCTTGCAGTGTTCCTGCTGATCCAGGCTTCAGGGAGACCACTGGGGGTGCCACGTCTGGTAGCCCAGAGCTGCTTAGCGACTTGTTTTGGCTGCTGCTTTGCAGTCTTGGCAATCCAGTGTTGAGCACTGTGCCGTGCAGCGAGCCGAGCCATGGTCCACGCAAGGGCTCATGATCCCATGTGGTGGACGGCATGTCTCCTGTATGCAAATGCTTGCCTGATCCCCCTGGGCCCTGCTTTAAGTTTTGTGAGTTTTCTCGCGTTCCTATCAGACACAGAACTCCCACGGACACTGGTGACTGTTGAGGTGTCCTTCCAAGTCTTCAACGTGCTCGTGCTCAGTGGCATGGTGGGCACAATCCAAATGAATCTGGAAACTCTGCAGAGGCTTGCAGAGTTGTCAGGGTTTGGCCTGGCTTCTGCACGTATTGCATTCCCTGGGCACATCAGCCAGAGCGCTACGGACTGCGTTGTATCCTTCCCGGGCAAGTACAGTGACCTCTGGGACAAGGCAGTTTCAAGCGTTACTCACGAGGACACCTTCTCACTTGCGTGTGTCTTCTTGACAGACACTGCTTCTGGCTTGGGTCGACATGCAAACTGCCCAGAGACCCCTGGCAAGTGCTGGTGCCGGCAAATCTATGGCCCGGTACCCGCCGCTACGTACCTCAGTGTGGTGCAAATCAGCGCCGACGGGTCCCAACACCATGACCAGACACTTGCTTTCAAAAGAGCGGATGCCGAAGCGATGGGCCAGCGACTGCTGATCAAGCAGCATCAAGGAGATATAGAGTGGGAGCAGGAACTTGCCGAGGCTTTGCAAGATGCCGAAGTCCGTTGCGTCGAGAATCAGCACAGGGCCCCCTGGGGGTGTCAATGGTTTGAAGACTGGAAGCAGAACGTGGACCGGGCGGCCCAGTTGCACCAAACACTCCACGTCTTCTGCTTTGAGGACAGCAAGGGCAGCGGCAAAATGCCTTGGGAGCTGCTCGCCAACGAGAGGGCGAGGCATGAAGCTCGAAAGAATAGTGGGCTCGGGGCTTCGCAGACTGCGGAGGTAGCGTACCTCGACAAGGTTGGCTTAAGCTATGTGGAGCACGACATCATGGAGTTTGAGGCCTTCCTCTCTTCTCGCACGACGTAGCAGTTCGCAGCTGCGTGTGTGTCTGGGTGTTGCAGCTTCCCCAGCTCAGGCACCTTCAAGAGTTAAGCCTGCACAGTTGAGAGGGTTTAGGTTGAGTGTCGACATGAAACCCTAGCTGCATGTGACTTCAAAACATGACCATGCCGGAGAGTTGATTCTCCATTCAGCCTAATGCTGTGTCTACTGCGGCGGTTGATGTTAACCGTGGATTCACATGCGCAGTGCGAAGTCTGTGCTTGTCTTGCTACTGCTACTGCTTCTTCGTGCAAGTTGATAGTATCGAGTTGCACCCCGGAGCCGATCCTTTGAGCAGGCGTGACTGATTTCATTTCCAATCCCCCGAAGCTGCCCAAACTTCAGTTCCAGAAGCCTCAACCCTACACTCCCACTTTCGTCCTAAGCGCTAACAGCTTTGAGCGTCCTGCCGCTTCTATCTCGAACAGTGACGAAGACGAGCCGCTGCATGGTTAACACCATTTTTGATCGACTGCTGCATCGTTCTAGAAACCCTTTGTTTTAGGGTTCAGCAGTTGGGGCCCGTACCACTCCAGGAACCTAAACCCTAAACCCTAAACCCTAAACCGTACACTCTCTTGCGTGGCCCTGGTCCTCCGAAGTGCCCTCCATTGCAGCCTGAGGGCCGCTGTTGGGACAGGAGGCTCCTCATTAAGGGAGTATACCATATGTAGACTGTAATTACCTCAGGGAACGCAAAGCATAATAATTGATATCTCCTTATAGGGTCCATGTAAAAGTAAGGTATACTACACTATACTTTACTATACTCTAATCTTAATATAGGGGCCTCAATGATTGCCAAATATTGCCAACACGATTTTTGGTGCTCCTTATAGTAACTAAAGTGTAATATACCCCCAAAAAAAATAATAAACAAAAACGATTCTAAATATGAAGGCTCCTATATTACCCCAAACCCTTTTTCTGATTCATGAGGCCCTTGAGGTTTCGTCTGGGCCGTAAGAATCGTCGCCATTCTTGTTATAGCAAAAATACACGTATCAACAGATTCTAAGGAGATATTATTATGCCTTGGGGTCCCTAGTGTAGTTATAGTATACATGGTATTATCACCCGAACCTTATTATGACAGATGATTCTGTTACCATGGGTCTGAGGCGCTTATAGCGTACTTCTGACACCCAGTTCAAAATCAAGTCTACTATCATATGGGTTAAGATAGGGCAGTCTTTAGAGTGTCCGTCTGTTGGGTGCTTCAATCTTCAGGTGGAGGCCTCAACCCAGCGAATGCTCAAAACCGAGAAACCCACAAGCCGGAACAAACACCCTGAACCCTGAACAGCACAGCCAAGAATTTCACGACGCCCTAAATCCAAAAACCCCAAACATCATTCTAACCCCAGAAACCCTAAACCCTAAATCCAGGACCTACAACCCGTTTCAACCGAGGCGAAGCCTCATCCGGTATTTTGCCTGGACTGCTGGCGTCAATACATGCAGACGGCCGTTTCAGAGGGCAAAGGCCACTTGCCTTATGCTTTAAGGGTTCAATATAGGGCCTAAATACTTACTTATACTATTGTGCGGGGGCTCCTTATTACAATTATGGCATAATATACCCGAAAACCCTATTCTACTTACTAAGGCCCCTGCATTACTTGCTTCGGAGTACGTAGGGAACATGTTGTCTGACAGATGGGTTTCGGCAGCAGGGCTGCTGGGTTTGGCCATTGGGGTTTTTGGGGTTTAGGGTTTAGGGTTTAGGGTTTAGGGTTTAGGTTTGCTAGGGCCTAACTGAAGGGTCAAGGTCTGATATAGGGTCTTTAATAATTACCTATACAACCTTGGGGGTTCCGTATTGTAACTATAGTATAATATGCCCCAACACCCTATTCTAATTATTAAGCCCCTACATTACAGGTACATTACATGGCTTCATTTGGCTATCCAAACTTCTGTAGAGCCGGAAGCCCAAAGCCCTGAGTCGTGAACTTTGGCTCCAAGCTCCTGCACTTTTCATCCAAACAGCCTCACCAATCAAGGCCGAGAGACCTAAGCGGCAGAGTTTAGTGTTTTGGGGTTAAGGGTTTCGTCTACCGCGCCAAAGCCGTTCCGAATGGCATTTAAGACCATGCATATCCGACACCGCCTCCATGTGAGCATTGTTGCCATGCTTCTAGTCTGCACGACCTCCAACGAGGCAGTCCATCCCCAAACAAATCGCTGGGGTTTAGGGTTTGGGATTTAGGGTTTGGGATTTGGGATTTGAGGTTCAGGGTTTGGTTCACTGGTTCGAAACTATTCAAGAAGACTCGGGCGCTTGGCCAAGCCACTCTGGAACTCAAGCCCGGTGCCTAAACTGCCATGGCACAACAAAGCTTCTTGCCACACCGGCACGAGACAGGTGCCTCACTCCCATGTGCTAAGCCTTGAGCCCTAAACCTAAACCCTGAGAAGATATAATATATCAAAAACATGCTCAGACTACAAAAACAACTAAGGAGACGCAAGAGTTTGTGAGGCGCCTTTGTTTCAAAAGCTGAGACCGCCACGAAGAAACACTAAAGCCTAAACCCTAAAGCGGCAGTCCTTTTCGTGACCAAGGCTGTTTGGACCTCCACTGCCCTGCGCCCGGATGCAAGGCATCTGACGTATTTTCAAGGGTGATTGACAGTTTTTCCAGGGCGGTGAGAGGATGCTTTTCGGTTCTGAAGCGGTTTTGCCGACGACGACGACGACTAGTGATGTTGAGATTGATGGGGCCTTTCGCACATGTGGGTTTGAGGCACCCAGGTTTCATAAAGTCATGGGTCATGAGGCATGTTGATGCGTTATATGGATATGATATGACCTGCTAGTGCCCCTCGGTCATTTGGATGTTGCGTCTTGGGGTTTAGGGTTGTAGGTACCCCCATTCTTCTAAAAGCCGAGACAGCAGATAGCTCGCATATAAACTGTTGACGTGACACCTGTCTTCAACGTGTCCAAACGCTCTGAACTCTTTACTGCGGCGCTATGTGTGGCATCATGGATCCCGAAATTGGCATCATGGATCCCGAAATCCTTGAACCTTCCAACTCTAAGCTTTAAACCCCCAACTCTCAACCTCTAAATCCTTGAACCCCCCACAAACCCCTTAAGCCTTATGCCCCAAAGGCCCTAAACCCTAAACTATCTTAACCCCATAGAACTATATCATACAACCCTAAACCCTAAAACCCAAACAAACCCCAAAAATCTTTCAACCCCCCCAACCCTGAACCTCAAGCCCCGAAGCCAACCCTAGACCACTAAACCTTTAAGTTAAAGCCACCAAGCCTAAGCCTGGGTTCTAAAACCCAAAATCCCCGAACCTAAAACTTTGAAAATCTAATCTCCGCACCCCAAAACCCTAAACCTTACAGTCTGAGTCTAAACCCTTAACTTAACGCCCTGAACCC